GACAATTTAGCCTACCAATTCACCTGTACTGCATGTCTTTGGACTGTGGGGGAAACCGGAGCACCTGGAGGAAACCCACGCAAAGGCAGGGAGAACATGCAAACTCCACACAGAAACGCCAACTGAGCCGAGGTTCGAACCAGCGACCTTCTTGCTGTGAGGCGACAGCACTACTTACTGTGCCACTGCCTCGCATGTGCCCAAACTTTTTCTTATAAAAGGCCAAAAAAAAAAGCTTTATTGAGGGATCTGAGCAGAATATTTACCAAACTGAATATATCACATCGTATAATATTAAATTTGACATTGGTTATTTCCTAATTTATTCTGTAAAATTGAAAAATAACTAGAAAATGTTGCTTTTAATCATATTTACTAATGCAGTATCCTTTTAAATATTTTAGAATGAACTTATTATTACAGTAAAAACTGGACCACAATTAGGTTCTGCTGAAAACACTAGTCAACTTGCACATACCTTTGCCTTCATTTGCTCTCAGATATCTTGTGCATCACTTTTTGTTAAGTGACAGTATTTAAATTTTAAAGTCTGATTCATTTACAACGTTTAATTGAAATTTTTAATTTCAGTGGACTTTTTTGTAACTCAGCAATAAAACAAAGAAACAAGTGATTACATTCAAATCGAAATAACAATTTCTTTCAAAGGTATCGCCCCAACCACATCAGCATCATACTCCTCCTTCACTTTTTAGATGGGATGGTGGGCCAAATCAAATGTTACCGTGGGCCAACTTGGGCCCGGGAGCTTTACTTTGGGCATCTCTGCATTAGGGTTGGGCGATTTCGACCAATTTGGCATCGTACATTAATGTGAAACATTGCGATGGAATCGCTGTCCTAGGCAATGGTAAATTAATTATTTATGAATAACTAATTAATTCATAGCAAATAAATTTTTTATAGCCTACTGTTTCAACTACCTGACCCGCATGGTCTTTGGTTTACCCTTAGCTAAACCATAAATAAATAAAAATAAGTTACACACAAATTACCACCTGTCAATCACTTTTTTCAAGGTTTAGTTCACTCAAAACTGAAAATAACATGATCATTTACTCTCCCTCATGTGGTTTTAAACAATTTTGAGTTTCTTACAAAAGAAGATATTTTGAAAAACGCTGGCTGGGACTGACTTCCATAGAAGGAAAAAAATACTATGAAAGTCAATGGGTGCCAGCTACCAGCATTTTTCTGAATATCTTTGGTGCTCAACAGAAGAAAGAAACTTAAATAGGGATTCAACAAGTGAAGGTTGAGTAAAGAATGACAACATTTTTGTACTCTTTTTAGGATTTTCTGACAGTGCAACACCTTAACAATGTTTGTTTCTTGTCATTTTTTTAGGACGTTTGAAGCCTAAATGTTCTACATTATGCACAAGGCTAAAAGCATTGTGGGATGACACTACCAGTGAACTGTGGATGACCAGAGGACCAATTTTTTAAAAGCATGACAAAGCATATACCCAGACAAGCTTATAAAGCACACCGGTCTATTTTTTGAAGTTATATTAATGTGGAATAATGTATAGTCTTACACAAATGTTTCTTATGAGCCAAATGTGCAGTTATGGCAGAGAATGTAAGAAGCGATCATTACATTCCTACAATGTGTAATGTTTTCTGAAGCATCAGTTCTTGGTCTTTGTGTCGTGGCATATAAAGGGTCTTGACACTTATATTTTGGATACTGTCTGGTTTGAAACTACTGTGATCTTCTATCCACAGGTGTCAAAGTAGATCTTAGAGTTCTCACAGTACAAAAGAACTGAAATATCGAGGAGGTGTATATAATGTCTACAAAGAATTTATAATATTCTTTGCCAACATTCAGGCTGGTAAAAGGAGGCAAAGTGTTTTTCACTTATTTCAAAAAATAAAAATGTTTCTCATTGATCTGCCCAAAAGTGCCGGAGGAACTTTCGTTTATTTTATACGTTAGTATAAAGTTCATAAGTATAGTTTATTTGCTTTGGAATTTGGTACTTCATGGTGAAATGAAAGAGACAACTACATAATATAAACCATTTAAATCATATCATGCATTTACTTTATATTATTTACACACATACTTTATTCCTCGGTGGACATGTACCACCATACGAAGAGCACATGAACTTTGGGGCCTGTGTTTACAATGAAGCTTTTTTTTATTATTATTTAACATCGGCCCTCTTATCAGCACATTCTGAACTACATGTGCCTCCTCTTTGAGGTGTGCAGGTTTTGCAAGCTATTGTTTTCTTGTTTTGGTATGACTGTGTTTTCATTTTCTTTTTGGTAAATGGAATGTTTCTCGTCTCTTCTTGTACATCAGATTGTATGTATAAGCACACAGAATATAGGCTCTTGTGTATAGAGCATCTTGCCTAGTCTAGCTTGTTGAGGATTTATTAGTGAAGCCTATTGTATCACAGAGTTGTCGTTTTACTATTTAAATAATAAATATTAGAAATGTTTGATTCTTTGTGTTTGGACTGACCCACCAAACACAACTTAAGTCCAAGGAGTGTAATCTTCGAGCACAGCAATAAACATTTAAGTAAATCGTTGAGTGAGTCTTGATTATTTTTGTATCAATTACAGTATCGAGTAGTTGCTGTTTGGATATTTACAGGAGACCATCATGAGATTTTGCAAAATAAACAATACAATAAGACAAAGTTTAAAAAATCTAATGTTGAATTCATATAAAAATGTACAAATAATCATTCAATTAAATTCAACTTTGCTTGGTTTCTAAATGAATCAGCCGTTTTAACGGATCGCTTGAATAATTGAATGAATTGCTCATTATGACATGGACTTTCTGCCACCTATTGGCGATTTTAATACAATTTTAATACAGTATCTTTTTTCAAGATGGACCTAAACCAAAATTTATACACCAAATAATATACATTTTATTATCGTTATGAATACATATAAATTATTCATTTAAAAAAAATTTTTTTGTTTATTTTTAGTTAAATAAGTAAATATGGTTTTAATGTAATTGCAAGCAAACCATGGCAATCTCAATAATTTCTTTTTCTGATCTGGACATCATGCTAAAATAAGTTTGGTTTTAATATTTGATTTTTAAAAATGTTTTAAATTAAGAATGAATTACTGTAAACACAATTTTTACACAATTATTTTTTTTAATTAGAGATAAATATATTTATGTTTTGAGGAATGTGAGCATTTTTTGAAAAAACATTTTCAATGTCAAAATTATTAGCCCCTTTAAGCTATTTTTTTTTTTTGGATAGTCTACAGAACAAACAATTGTTATACAATATCTAGCCTATAATTACCCTAACCTGCCTAGTTAACCTAATTAACGTAGTTAAGCCTTTAAATGTCACTTTAAGCTGTATAGAAGTGTCTTGAAAAATATCTAGTCAAATATTATTTACTGTCATCATGGCGAAGATAAAATAAATCAGTTATTAGAAATGGGTTAATAAAACTATTATTTCTAGAAATGTGTTGAAAAAATTGGTGTGAAAATATAAATGACAACATAAATTCAATGAAAAGTCTAGTATTTATTAGATTTTTTAAAGTTATATTTGTAACTGAACATGAGCATACATGACCTGGGACATGGCAATTCAGCTACTTGCATGGAATTAGAGTAATTACTTTAAATTTAATTTATTTTGGAGCACTTATCATTGTTTCTTATTGTGGAAATGTATTAATCATCTCAGGCTTTAAGGATTTTTTAAATTGCATTTTTAAATATTCTGTACCATATAATCCCTTGGGGACACAAATCGTCACCTTGGAATTACAAGATTCTATCTGTGTTCTGAATGACCTTGAGATATTGAGCTTCAAAGTTTTTGCATTCCATACAGCAAACAGTGTGTGTGTGTGTGTGTGTGTGTGTGTGTGTGTGTGTGTGTGTGTGTGTGTGTGTGTGTGTGTGTGTGTGTGTGTGTGTGTGTGTGTGTGTGTGTGTGTGTGTGTGTGTTCTTTTCAGGCAATTTATGATGGCTTAGTAGTCAAAAATGGAACAAATCAGTTCATGTAGAGACCAAATGATGGACTTTGTCATGTCACAGGGGGTCTTTCGAACCACATGAACCCCCCCTGGCTTCGGGCCTGCTTTTTAAAGTAAACTTAACATTTGCCACTTTTGTCATGCCAATAAAGCAATTATTGAATTGAATTAAACACGGTCAAGAAATTAAAAATGCACTTTATATTTCCAAACAAAACTACATACTTATGGAGGACGAAACCAGCAAAAACAATTTTAAAAATATGAAAATATATAAATAAATAAGTAAAGAAATTCCTGCATAAATAAAATAATTAATAAATATGCAAATAAACAAATAAATGCATATTAAATATATATATATATATATATATATACATACATACATACATACAAATAATTAATAGTGCGAGCAAGTAAATAATTACATAAGTGTACCCTCATCCCCGCCCAGGAATTTTTGGATTTATTTAGTCATTTATTTATATGTTTGCGTATTTATTTATTGTTTTTGTAGGTTTCGTCCTCCATAATACTTGAAGGGAGAGGAATAACTGATTTTTATTCAATAATGGCCTAAAATATGATTTTCACCTCTAGAGGGAGCCATACTTTCATTTATGCAGTAGACCTGCTATATTAAATATGCCCCAAATCTGATAGCGTTAAATCTGTCGTTTAAAAAATGCGCTCAGAGTAAATTGAGAACCGATTTTATGAATTTAAACATAACAAAACAAATGTAATATGTAAATAAAAGGCCTATATAAGTGAATATGGGCTATTCTACGAGATTTAAATGATGCCTGAAAGAACGTCACAGGTTTGAAGGCACGCGAACGTTATAAAAGAATGTTGACATCATAGAAGCCATTCCACGGTGAACAGAGTTACAGAGCATTTGGCAGTCGCTACTAATCGCTTATTGAATCCTTGTTGTCGTCCTTGTTGTTGTGATATAATCTTCACACCACTTTTTCAACATGTGGTCTAACAGTCAACGCGTGCCACGATCTCCAGAACATCGAGACGTGAGCTCTCCTAAGCGTCAGATGAAAGTTTCAGTGAAAAGTGTCAGTTTCTTTTTACCCGAGTCTGATCTGAACGCCGATACTGAGTGTCCCTCGTCTGATCTGCCCCATTCCTGGAGCAGTGCAGTGAGGATGGACACAAGTGCACCTCTCCATCAGCATCCTGAGGTTGTATGCTCAAACTTGACTGTTCTGAAGCTGTGCCATGTTCCTGTGAAACCTGCTGAAAAGCAGAAGTTCACTGATGGTCATGGGCTTCCAAAACGTCGAGGAGTGAGGTCTCTTAAACATATGATGGAAGTTTCACTGGAAGACATTAACTATCTTTCATGTGAACGTGACCTGAATGCCAGCATTGAACATTCCTCGTCTCTTCTGCTGCCCCATTCTGAGAGTCGAGAAGTGAGAACAGATAAACATACACTTCTCCGTCAGCATCCTGATGCTCCACGCTCAAAACTGCCTGTTCTAAAGTCAAAGTGTGTTCCTGTGAAGACTGTCAACCAGCAGAGTTTCACAGATGAACCCTCAGAATGGCTGGGCATGGGGTCGAATCATATGAAGAAAGGTACAGTGAAAAATATCAACCCTTCATGTGAGTCTGACCTTACTGTCAGTGTTGCCCCTTGCTCATTTTTGTTGCCCTTTCAGGCAGCCAACCAGTGAGGATGGACAAGCGTACACCTGTCCGCAAGCATTCTGTTGCTGGATGCTCAAAACTGCCAGTTCTGAAGTCAAAGTGTGCTCCTGTGAAGCCTGTCAGTGGAGAGAAATTCAATGATAGACCTCCAGAGCATCAGATGAAAGTGTCACTGAAAGACTTCAGCTATCTGTGTGAGACTGATCTGAATGCCAGCGTTTGCTGTTCCTCATCTCTTCTGCCTCCTTCTGGGAGCAGACCAGTGAGGATGAATAAACGTAGGCTTTTCCAGCAGCATCCTGATGCTCCACGCTCAAAACTGCCCATTCTGAAGCCAAACCATGTTCCTGTGAAGCCTGTCAACCAGCAGTGCTTCACAGATGAACCCTCAGAATGGCTGGGCATGGGGTCTTGTGAGAATCAGGTGAAAGTTTCACTGAAAGGTCCTCCATATGAGTCTGACCTGAATGTCAGTGTTGAGTGTTTATCATCCTATCTGGCAGTAAGAGTAGGCAAATCCCAGCATCCTGCAGCTGTTTCCAAACACTTGCCTGTTTTGAGGCCACGCTGTGCTCCTGTCAAGCTTTTGGGTGGACAGAAGTTCATTGTCGAAGCACCAGAACATCGAGCGTCGAGGTTTCCTCCTTTAGTGAATAAGGCAGAGAGGACTGGCATTGACCCTTCATGTGGGTCTGATTGGAAAGTTAAGTCTCACCTTTCCTTACCCAGCCTGCCACGTCTTACAAGTGGAGTGAAGATGGGAAAACATGTGCCTCTGCATGTTCCCGTGTTTACAAAATTGCCTGCTCTGAAAGCAGCTCATGTTCCTGAGCAACCTGTTCTTCCTTCAAACTTCATGTTTTTTCCATTTGATGATGAGGATGTCAAGATGAAGAGGGCTCGGTCAGTAAAAAGAAGCCCTCCTCTGCCTTCAAGGTTCCACTCTGCAACCTATTTTTAGGATTATTCTTGTTTTTTTGTGTCAATAAATGTTGTCACTTTAAAATTATTCTCTGTGTGTTATTCTTTTTTTAATGCTTATTTGTGTATTAATCAGTTTTTTAAACATTAAGGGAAGACAGATATTTGTGGGTCAGAAAGAATTCCAACTTGCTTGAAAAGGTTCCATCACCTTGCATAAAATAATAAATTAATCTCAATAACATTTTATTTATGATGATAGGTTTGACAAATTATGAAATGAGCTTTACATTTTCTTTTTTCATTATTTAAAAGCCATTGATTTGAAAATGAGTGTATTCACATGTATTACACACACATGTAAAGTTCTAACCACTTGCAATATGTCAGCCTGTTTAACAGACAGAAATGAAAATAAATCCAAATATCAAATAAATAAATAAAATAAAACTGCCTTTATTTATTCAAAGGTAGCAAAATACATCTATTTATGTGTAAGTTTAGGATAGTGAGCAGTTAAAATTGGTCTCTTTTTGTCTCCTCTGGGTTTTTAAAACACCTCTGGATTCTGTTGTGGAAAAAAGATTCTGGTCTGCAAAATATTCTAAGTCTCTAAATCAAACTTTTCAAAAAAAATGACAAAGTCTGAGATCTCCGAAGTCTTTAGGCAAAGCAGTTTATTGTTACAGCATCAGTAACAACAGAGACATGTCATTCGAGTGTCTGCCGAACACAGGCTTGCACACAGTTTAAATACATTTTGTTGTCTTAATACTCCACACAAATTTACACATTACACACCTCCATCAGCTTCTCCGCAAATGGGATCTTAAATCTCTCAGATGCCCTCCACCAATAGAATCTCAGGGTCTTTCAGGGGTCTTACCCATGTCTAGTTAAGGTATTTCCTTCCTGTTTAAAAAAGTGATGACTCAGCCAAAAAGAAATGCTCAACAGTATATCTTATTCACTGTCCACTGAGCTGTCAACTGTAAGTTCAGCTGAAGGTACTCATAATTATTAAGATGTCAGTACAAATGAGTGTGGGCGCACATGCAGGTGCCTTATTATGAGTTAAAGAACAGAACGCAGGTGTCCTTATTGCCTTGCATCCATAAATCTACCCTCATAGTGACATTAATGCTGCTGTTCTAATTTATCTTCTCATCTCTGACTGCATTTACACAGAATGACTTTTTAATTTACCAAAGCACACATACCTGATAAAAATGCAGCAGGTATGGGTAATAATACAATAGATAATAATAATAATAATAATACTACTAAAATCACTCAAATAAGCATATAAATGAGAGTAATACTTACATCAGAAATTCATCAAGACACAATGAATTCCCCAACAATTCGAAGTGCCTCACAACAGACATGAAGAGATGCCATTCTTCAATAAAACATTTGCAAAAGCTTAATTATCATGTTTGTTTAAATGTTAAATATGTAAAACAGTGGGGGGTCCCCCACCGTCCAAAGACTTGTGGTACAGGTGAACTAGGTAGGCTAAATTGTCTGTATAGTGTATGAGTGTGTATAAATAAGTAAAAATTAAGCAAGTCCTTATAATCTTGTTTTTGTTTTGAAATAAGATTATTTTGCTTACATCTCCACTAAATGTAAATAAAGAAGGTACAGAAATAAGTCTCAATGTATTTAAAAGCATAAGACAGTAACATAAGACCAAACAATGCTTAAAAACTTGTTTAAGTTAGCATAAACTGATATCACAATTCACATTTAAATAATCACCACTGAATTTACACTCACTGGACACTTTATTAGGTACACTTGTCCAACAGCGTGTTGACACAAGTTTCTTATCAGCCAATCACATGGCTGCAACTTACTGCATTTAGGCAGGTAGACGTGGTCAAGATGATCTGCTGCAGTTCAAACTGAGAATCAGACTGGGGAAGAAAGAGGATTTAAGTGACTTTGAACATGGCCTGGTTGTTGGTGCCAGACAGGCTGATCTGAGTATTTCAGAAACTGATGATCTACTTGAATTTTCATGCACAGCCATCACTTGGGTATACAGAGAATGGTCCTAAAAAGAAAATATTTAGTGAGTGGTAATTTTGTGGGCGCAAATGCCTTGTTGATGCCAGAGGTCAAAGGAGAATGGCCAGACTGGTTCCAGCTGATAGAAAGGCAACAGCACCTCAAATAACCACTCATTACAACAGAAGGTATGCAGAAGAACATCTCTGAATGCACAATACATCCAACCTTGAGGCGGTTTGGCTACAGCAGCAAAAGACCACATCGAGTGTCACTCCTGTCAGCTAAGAACAGGAAACTGAAGCTACAATTCGCACAGCCTCACCAAAATTGGATTATAGAAGATTGGAAAAACTTTGCCTGGTCTGATGAGTCTCCATTTCTACTGCGACATTTAGATGGTAGGGTCAGAATTAGGCGTTAACAACATAAAAGCATGGATACATCCTGCCTTGTATCAACAATCCAGGCTGGTGGTAGTGGTGTGATGGTGTGGGGGATATTTTCTTGGCATACTTTGGGCCCATTAATACCAATTAGGCATCATGTCAGCGCCACAGCCTACCTAAGTATTGTTGCTGAGTGTTGACCATGTCCATCCCTTTATGCCCACAGTGTACCCACCTTCTGATGGCTACTTTCAGCAGGATAACGCGCCATGTTAAAGCACAAATCATCTCACACTGGTTTCTTGAACATGACAATGAATTAACTGTACTCAAATTGCCTCCACAGTCACCAGACCACAATACAATAAAGCACCTTTGTGATGTGGTGAAATGGGAGATTCGCAACATGGATGTGCAGCTGATAAATCTGCAGCAATTGCGTGATGCTATCATGCCAATATGTTCCAAAATCTCTGAGGAATATTTCCAGTACCTTGTTAAATCTATGCCATGGAGGACTAAATCAGTTCTAAAAGCAAAAGGGGGTCCAACCTAGTAAGGTGTACCTAATAAAGTGGCTGGTGAGTGTATATAATTAGTGAATTATAAAAGTATTATGTTAACACCTGAAAAGTCAGAACTGAAAATTCAACAACAGTGCATTCCTTTTTAAAAAATAACAACTCACTATGAGATATGTTAACTGCAGTATGAACAAATATGAAAACTTGTCTGTTTTATGTTGCACTTATGAAATCAAACACTGAGTGGCACTACAGTTTCATATATATAACATTGTCATAACATATATAACAGTGTTATCAGGGCAGAGTTTAGGCAATGTTGAAAATAAACATATTATAATTTAATATGTGCATCCGTTTTTGTAATTAATGCTGACTTTTCCAATAATAACTTGCATTAAATAATAATGAAAATATAACTACTGCTGACAACTACTGAAAACAAATGTGCTATGCTTTAAACATGGAATGCAATATTATTTTCAATGCTTGTAACCGGACTTCAGCCATATTTTCTAGCATTATATCATCATGTTATTACTTATAAGAAGGGCCAAACAGAATGTGCGGACATTTTTGCTATTTGTGCAGATAATTTTGTAAGTAACTAAATAGTATCGTAACAAAAAAAATAATATATGAAAATATTAAAATGAAATATATAAAAATTTTATTTAATGTTTACAATGCAAATCCAATTAGATCCACTTATTTGGTAAACAAAACAAGTCTCACATATAATATATCTACTAAAAGACAGAAAATATTACTTTACAAACAGTATTCATGTGAATCATATGAACATTTTATTATTTCTTTTAATAGATCACAATAATATTAGTGAAATGGATATAAAAACTAAACAAATATAAATTTACACACCTTTACTCAAGTAAATGCATAAAATCTGGAGATTTCTGTGTGTGCAGATTGGGTGTGGGCCTACTTAAAAATAAAAAATAACTAATGAATTATTAGAAGATAATGCAAACCAAAAGTACACAAACTGTGTGTGTTTGAATTTCATCACATGCATCTACTAGGATGGTGTATTTAAGGTTTATATTTGGTGTTGACAGAGAGTAACCACAGTCTAAATTACAAAACAAATTTTGTGGGTTTTACTTGTCTGTCTGACCAAATAAGTAGCATATAAACATTAAACTTGGGAAAATTTAAAATTGCATCGCTCTAGCGCAGTTAGTGTGTGTAAAGGAGACTCTGAAAATGTCAAAACAAAGCAAAAATGCACATACTAGGTCACAGGACAGTCTTCTTAAAGACCTTTGCCTCATTCTTAAATGAATCAGCCATCTGAACAAATCAATTAATTTAAAGATACACCCATTAAACCACTACTGACAGTTTACTTTCATTATATATATATATATATATATATATATATATATATATATATATATATATATATATATATATATTTTTTTTTTTTTTTTTTTGATCAATACTACTGGAAATTTTCTTTCATGATAAAAAGTTTCAGTGCATTATTCCAACATTTCGTTAAAATTATGCAAAGTCATTGTGCAAAGTTAATGCATTACATTGATTTAAACTTTTTAAAAAATGTCTGTCCCTTGATTGCTTCTATTATCTTTACAGTGTAAATATTAGTTGATTTGGAAGTAATTTGACAAAAATAAATTTGAATGCATGACATGGATAAAGTAAGGTACCCTCCTATTTTCTTTCTTTTTTCAGGGTGGCCCAATGGCTGCAAAATAACATTTCCCTTGTAGTTAAATGTTACATGATCGATTTGTGCAATTCACCTTTTCCATGTCTACTCAATCACATGAATATAAACAAGTCAGTGGAATATTCTGGAAAAAAGAAAGTGTGTCGAGAAGAATGCTGCGAGAGAGGCGGGGTCAGTGTGTCTTTGGCATCGCTGTGGGTGTGTAACTTACACTGTCTCCATTCCACCGAACCAACTACTCGCATTGAAACTGGCCATGCCTGTCCAACACTGTAGCTAGTCTCCGTCTTTATCACCCTTTCACCGTCTCCTTTGGACCAAGGAGTGGCGAAATTATTCGGTTTGGTGTCGCTTGTCGTCTGCTTTGACCTGGTAAGTGCGGATGATTTCTATGGAGTGACTTTAGCGGATGCTAGCAGTCTCGTTAGCCAGCTGAGGCATCGTCTAAGCGACTCATCCTGGATTTGCATCAAGTTATCGATTTTTACTTTCTTTTGTTGTTGTGTGACGCTTGCATTTCCGTCTTTACATATGTACTTAATTTCCTCCTTAATTTTAATTAGTTAAGAATGCATGTATAGTGGATTCAAAGCTGTTTTTGTGCCTTGACTGATGTGTGCGGCAGCAGGAATAGATGTTGACAGTGCTAAGCTAACGTTATTAGGCTAACGGTAGCTCCGAAAGACGTTATTTTTTATTTGTGAGATTTAAAAACGGGGCTTGTTTTTTATTGGTTACTCTTCTGTTGTCAGGTATTAACCTCAAATCACGAGTTTTATTGGATTTTTTAGTTAATATATTTTAAACGTTTTTATTTAATTCTTTGTACAGTATATTATTTATTTATTTTGCTGAAAAGAGAAAGATGCTCCCATAACCTAAGCGATTGTTGACAGCTGAAGGTACAACAATCACTTCCTGTGTGTAAAAATTAACATTTAACGTTATGCCTTGTTTTAAAATATAAACGCATATTTTGACATATAAAAAAAGAGTCCTCTCAGCCGTCAGCTTCTTAAAATAGCTAAAGTTTCGTGTAATTGGGATGTGAAACTTGAATCCTGTATAGAGCTGTTTCTGGAACAGCAGCTGTGGGGGATTGGTAATGGATTAATTATTTAAAGCGGATCTCGACCTTGGTTTATTGGAGTAATATAAAAGTTAATTTTTTATGTTCAATAAACTTAAAATGAAAAAAAAAAACACTAAGTTAACCAAATCGAAGGGATTGTGTGCAACCCTCCCACCATTTTTTCCAGTGTAGGAAATTTTTTTTTTATCCTATATATAATATAATCCCTGTGCATTGTGTAAACACCTGTTATTTTCCTTCCCCCGGCACTTTTCAGTTGTGGTGTTTTACAACATACTCATTTGTTACAAATACAGCCTGAAAAAGTTATGAAAAGTCAAGAACATTCATGGACATTTTTAGATTTTGTGGTTTATTATTCTATATGTTTCCAGCTAGAAATTGTGGATTTAAAGAAAAAAAAAAAAAATTACAAATCCTCAGCCAATAGTAAAATTGTATGGAAAAAAGGAGGATGTTCTAATCCTCAAAGTTCACAGTGTTAATTTGTGACCTTGTAATACAAATAGATTTTCCTGGTGTACGTGAGAGATAGGGTGCAGAGTCATTGGCGGTTGTCTGTCCTGTTGCTATAGGTTGTTGTGATAACTGCATGTTTTGTAGTGCAGCAAGGCCAAGCAAAACCAAACACGTCAGATCTCCCGACGAGCCATAGCCAGGATGTCTGAAAGACTAGACAAACTCTTGCATTCACACCAGCATGAAACCAGGCTTCTCTTGTCTTCCCACAACAGAAAATGGGCACAAGGATAACTTGTTGCCATTGGAAATTGTTGGGTTTTTACCCACTACACCCATAGTAGATGCAATGACCTGGCCTTTAAAATCTGCTGAACATGTCCTGTTCAGATTATAGCTAAACCCAGCTGTCCTTGAGGAGCTTTCATAGTTGCTGCTTGGCTCATGTATAAGTGACAGACTCTCTTTAGATTCATCCAGCCGCCTGTCATGAAAACAGTTGGAGCACCATATGGGTTGTGAGCTAGATTACGGTTAACTGCTTTCATTTGTAATGATGTGCATTGGTTTTCTGTAATAATGAACTGTAGTTTACTGCACAGGTTAAATCATCATGTTTGAAATCAGACCTTGAACATTCAAATGAATGATTATTGCTATGGGGAACACTGTCTTGTCATGAGCTGCTTTGAATTTTTTTTTCAGATAACAAAAGTGAAAGTGTGAGTTTCCTTCCTCATGGCTTCACTAAGGAAATGTTTTATTTCCTTGGGTGGGAATCGTAAAGAAAGAAATCTTGCACAACTCAAAATAGATTTAAGCTGAAAACAGCTCTGTTTCTTCTGGTGGAAATGGGGAAACTATTGAAGATACACCATTACATCAGCAAGTCATCATCATGAAGTATTTGCATTTTGTAAATTAGCCTGAGGCTTGCGTCCTATTTTTGTCAAACGGACCTTAGATTAGTTTGTTACATAATAGTCATTTGGTCGTGGTGACTATGGGTCATTATGATGCAGCGGTGTGCTCAACCCATTTATCATCCTGATCAGTGTTACTTAATACTTTCAAGTTTACACAACAGAGAGCTTTTACACATGAAAATCCCTGTGACAAACATTTGCGTAAAACAAATCTAAACAAAACTCGTATTCTTTTTGTGTTGGTCAGTCCCTGATCATGAAACTATGAACTAAACATCTCTTAGACCTAGAATGAACAAGGCACCTACGTCATTTCAAAAGACCATAATGTCACTGAGACTTACTCTATACACACCATAGTTTCAATAGTCACAGTTAAATGATGGAATTAATTCCCTAAATTATCATTTTGTGTGGGCGAATGAGTTTTCACGTTCATTCCATGCCCATGTGGATTTCCTCAGGTCCTCCGGTTTTCCCCATAGTCCATAGACATGCAGTATAGGTGAACTGAATAAACTAAGTGTGTGTGTGTGTGTGTGTGTGTATGGGTGTTACCCAGTACTTGATTGCAGCTGGAAGGCCATCCGCTGCATATTGTTGTCACATTACTGGAATTCGGTACCAGTCAATGCTAAAATTTTAAAAACGCCCATTTCCCGCTAACATTTGAGTGCCTTTGAGCTATACACTTGGTAACCTCAGATACCTAGGCCTTCATGGCCAATCACAGTCATTTCTGTTGAGCATGTGAACACAGTGGCAAATCAGCACTGTTTAAGAACATGCTCAAATGTTACAGGGAAATTGATGAAATACCTGTATCGTGACAAACCTACCGCTGCATAAAACATATGCTGGAATTATTGGTGTTTCTTTCCACTGTGGTGACCCCTGATAGTCAGGGACTAAGCCAAAGAAAAATTAATGAATGTATGTGAGATTTAACTTGTTTTCAAAATTGCGACACAATGACACTAAAGCAGGTCGCACACCAGAAGCGCCGCTCGGCGGCGCGCCGCCCAGCGCCAAGCAGCGCCACGCAGCGCCACGCAGCACCATGTATTTTAGAATTCTAAACATAGGTTTCTATCAGGATACACACACCGGCACCGCAAGTCGGCGGCGCCCGGCGACGGCTCAGGACGCAGTTAATTTTTCAGCCGCGCCACAGAGCGCCATCTGATTAGTTTCATGTTAAATATCCTTCGAATGTGCGCGTCTGGTGTGTGATACTTTAAACTGTCATGTGCGCGCCGTGTCGCTGCGCTTCTGGTGTGCGACCTGCTTAATCATTTTAAAGTTCTGCCATCATCACCTTGTTTGGTATTCGCTCTTGTTGTTCAAAGAAATATTTCATTTGTTAATTTGTTAATTTAACTATCCATCATTAAAAAAATACAACTTTTCATATTTTTAATTGTTGCCAGGTTCACTATTCATAAGCAAAAATCCTTAAAAAATCTTTAGGTTTAAACGATTCAGTTAATGGAGTCAATATAGCAGGTATGTATAGGTTGGGATATTTGGATAGGTGGCTTGTTTTCTAAATAAACGCTTAAAATGGGTTTAGTTTTATTTGTACACCATTCCCTGTGATTTTATGCATCATGTCATGCATACAGAAAATGGAAACAACTATGCTAGTTGTAAATGTAGCCTTGGATATAGTTTCTTCTTCGCCTCGGGTCAGTATGTAAACTATATTGTAAAACTGATGTTTGTTCACAAGATGTAAAGTTCCTGGTTATGCATCATGTCTTGGCTTGGCAATGCATCTCCATTATGGGTTTTCACACAGTCTTTTCTGTAAATGTACTGTCAAATTGTATTTAGAGATCATGTGTGAACAGGACCTTTTTATAATGTGGCAAATCAATTTTGCCAGTGCAAAGTTTTCAGTCATGTAACTGGCGCAGAGGCCTGCAGGGCAGAACAGCCATTGAACTGCAGTACAGATCTGTCAGGTTTCCATTTGTACCAAGCCACAGATATTTATAACAAATATTTCAGAAGAAGAAAAACAAACATAACAAACTGAGAGATTTGAAAACTAGTGCCACATATTGGCCTTATTCTAAAATGCGGAAGTGCGCTTATTTTTGCGATTGTTTTAGAACTTCCAATTAGGTTGCCTATGGGAGAATAGACTAGGAATAATAAACAGTAGAAAGTTATCTAAATTCTTAATGTAAGATGTAAATAAATATCAGTTTGCTACATCAAGCAGCATAACGAGCTGTTCTTAACGTTTAAAAAATGAATGGAGCTGAAAGAGACAGGAAGTCTCAAGCCAAAGGGATTCAAATGGCTGTCCCCACTTGTACTCAAAGAATAAGGTCAATACATACAAATGTTTAGTAGGATTCAGGTCAATTATTGGTTTATTCATATGTAAATATTAAGATTTCTTTCATAATTTCAGCCCACATCGTCATCCGAATATTTGGCTAAGTGGTACTACTTATTTTGGCATATATAGAAAGAAACTAAGAAACAAGCTACTCACCACAACAGCTAGTTTTAAAAGAATTGTAGCCCAACATTGCATGCCATGAATTATATTAATCACAATAATAAAGATCCAACCATGGACTCTTAAAGGAGACATTGAATGCTCGATTTAGACAAATTGATATGATTCTTTAGGGTCTTAACGAAAAGTCTATAACGAAGTTGGTTACTTTTTGCTCACCTCACCCCTATTTAAAGCTGAACCATGAATGGATAATAGCAATCCTTTCTTGAGATTGTAAACCAGCACACTAGATACAGCACTTAGCCAAGCCTCAAGCTTCTGCTGACTGTTGTCTAGGGCTGCATGATTAATCGGAAAAAAGATTGTGATCTCGATTCGACCCCCAACACGAACTTAATCCAGCATCTTTTCTATT